CTCGAATTTACTTCTGGAATGCCTTGTCTTGCCCACTGATTAATTTTTCTGTTTTAAATTCAATTCCGTATGATTTGGAGAATTGTCACTTTGTTTTAAAATTTGGTAGCACGGGTCTGATCCTAATATATATATTTTTTAAGTTGGTATTTTTCTTCACTTGTTTCTACAAAAGGAGAACATTGCTGGTACCGAACAAAGTCTGTGCATGGGCATTTTCCACAAGGAGCATAATCTAGCTCCTCATTTATTTATTCCTTCCTTTATGTCTCTCTTTAAGTCTTTCTAATTTTCTTGGACTCTCTCTTGTCCCAAGCTGAATTACTACCCTCGCATTTAATGGATTTTATTGCTATTGTAAAAGGATTTCCATCCATCAAATTGCGGGTGCTCTGTGTTGAAAAGGGGCTTAGTACTCTTCTAGAGCAATGATTCCCAAACGTCAGAAGCACATGGAGGGTTTGTTGAAACACAGCGTGCCAGGCTCCCCTCTAGAGTTTCTGATTCATCAGATCTGGGGTGGGGCCTGAAGATCTGCATTTCTAACAAGTTATCAGGTGATGTTGCTGCTGGTGCTGGGACCACACTTCGAGAAACACTTCTGATTCCCACACCTAACTGAAACACCTGGGTAGGGTGGGGCACCCTATGAAATGCTGCTTCTGTGGGTCTGAGGCAGGTCTGAAAAATCCATTTTCTCTCTAGTTTGTTAAGTTCCCTAGGTGACCGTGATGCCAGGTTTGGGAACTGCTCAGGTGCAGGTTCATCTGTGAAGGGCTGACCCTCCTACCTCTCTTCCTTTTATGCAGTTGTCAGCTTATCTTTGCAGCTAGCCGAAGCATTTTTCAGCCTAGACCCTATCATTCTGGCTCAATATGCAGATTTGACAGGACTCCCTTCTGTGTCTTCTTCCAGATTGTTGATTAAAATGACGAGACATAAAAATGAAGTTTCACCTCATACCCATTAGGACAACTACTATTTTTTAAAAAACAGAAAATAACAAGTGTTTGCAAGGCTACCAGAGAAATTGGAACCTTTGTACTCTGTTAATGAGTTTGTAACACAGTGCAGCCGTTATGGAAAACAGTAAGCAGTTCCTCACAAAATCAAAAATAGGCACGGTGGCTCATGCCTGTAATCCCAGCACTTTGGGAGGCCAAGGCAGGAGGATTGCTTGAGCCCTGGATTTCAAGACCAGCCTGGGCAACATAGCAAGACCTCATCTCTACAAAAAATTATGAAAA